TCTCTGCTTCCAGAAACAAGTGTGCGACGACATCGGGCGGCGGCTGACAGTGCTGGGGGATACCTGGGCTCAGGGGAAGCTGTCAGCCCCAGTGAGGAAGAGGATGAGCCTCCTGGTGCAAGGTGAGGGGCAAGGCGGGCTGCATCCAGGCTGGCGGGCAGGGAAGGCTGACCCTGTGCCACTGATGGGTTCTCCTTTCCTTGCAGAGCTCCAGCAACAGCACTGGGATGCAGCTGATGAGATCCATCGCTCGCTGATGGTGGACCATGTGAATGAGGTGAGCCAGTGGCTGGTGGGCGTCAAGCGCCTGATCGCCGAGATGAGGATGCTCGCTGCGGAACCAGCTGCGGAGCCAGATGGCAGCACTGAGGCCAGGCCTGGCCAGGAGGAGCCCTGATGCCAGGGACGGGGCTGTGGACTGTGAGCAGGGCAGCCCATGCCCAGGGCCACTGGCAGGAGAAGGGCCCCCACTGCCCCAGGGAATCTGGGCATCTCCTGTGCCTCCCAATCCTCACCCAGGAAAAGGGGATTTTAATCATTATGACATTTTAGTGACTCACTACATGATGTGTAATAAACAGCACTAACCTGCCCCTGGCTGCAGCCTGCCCTGGGCTTCTGGCACGGGATGGGTCCTGGTTCTCCCATGAGCAGCAGGAGATGGGACTGCTGGGTGAGGCCACGGCAGCTTCAGGAGCTCTCACCCTGTCCGGGTGTTCCCAGCGCACAAGACGTGAAGCGAGGGAATCCCCCCAGCAGCACCCAGATCAAGCAGGCAGCAATGCATTTTCCTGCTGCACCAGCTGGCACATCCTGGCCCCCTCTGGCCTTGCCTTTGGCAGCGGGTGGGGCGACACCACACAGCAGCAGGCTCTTCTGCAGAAGACAGCCCTCCGAGGAGTTCTAGGCTGCCCAGAGCAGCCTAGTTTGCATGGCCAGGGTTTGTGCTGCAGCTACAGCCCATGCTCCTGTCTGGGCTCCTGCCCATCTTGGCAAAGCTCAGGCCCAAGCTGGGGACCTGAGAGATGTGCGTGGCCTCAGGGACAGGGAGATCCAGAGAGAAACATCACGGTGCTAGTGACGCCCACTTGCTCAGGTGAGCGCAGGGTGTCACGTTTACCCTGGACAGCAAAGCAGACTGCACTGTGCTGCTCCCTCCTGTGCTCCCAGACAGACCTCACCAGCTGCCCCCACCACAGCTGGGGCAGGCTGGGGGTTCATGCACCCCAAGCCTTGCAGCAGACCTCGAGGCTCGGTGTTCACCACCCCCAGCCTGCAGGGTCTCAGTGCAGGAGGGCGAGATCCTCTGCACCCTCAAAGAGCTCCCAGTGCTGCTCGGCTCCTCTTGGCTCCCTTCCCCAGGGCTCTGCGGACCCAGCTGAGCCCCACAGAGATGCAACAGGTCAGCACAGGGGTTTCATGGTGTTTATTGATCAAGCATGAGCTCCTAGGCAATTGCACCAGCCAGTTGTGCTCGAGCCTGAGGTGTCACACATCCATCCCCAGCATCAGAGAGGGCTGCAGCCAGCTGGTCACAGTGCCAGCACCTCCACAAGGCCCAGGAACAGGCCCAGCCATGGCCTGGAGACGGGGAGCTGGAAACTCAGATGTCCATCTCAAACTGGTCTTGATCTGCAAGGGTACAGAGGGATACAGGGCCAGGGTTAGGATGGGGCTGCCTTGGGAGAAACATGCAGACAAAAGGGGCAGAAGCTGCAGCAGGGCTGAGCCAGGATCTCCCCTTGCCCTTGTGGCGAGAGAGGAGCCCCAGGCAGCACACAGGCAGGGGCATGCTCACCTGGCATGGCTTCTTCACTCTCATTCCGCTCCTTGAGCTCCTCCAGCTTGGCGAGGCTGGACTGGGCCAGGGATGTGACACCGGGGGTCTGGGGCAGGCAGCAGGGAGGGGTCCTGGCCACGGGTGAATTCTTGCACTCCAGCAGGAACTTGCGGTCGTAGATGATGCGGGTACCTGCCAAAAGCAGGGAGCTGTCAGGCACTGCTGGCCCCTGGACACCCCCATCTCCGAGCACCACAGGCTGAGCCCAGAGCAGGGGGTGGGATCCAGCGCTTGGCCACAGCTCAGGGACACAGCTAGCTCTGGAGCCACTGTGGGGCTTCCCACATGGCAGACTGTGACACTTGTCCTGCCCAGCACCTCTTCCCCACATTGTTCCTCCTCTTGAGGCTCCCAGAGCTCTACCAGGGCACGGCACAGGGGGTCTGCCCTCAACACGGGTGCCCCGTGGCAGCTCACACCACGAAGGCAGGGCCAGCCCTGGGGCACTCGGCACGTAGCCCAAGCCTAGCAGCCAGGCAGCGGGCACCCTGCCCAGAGTGCCCTCAGTGCACCCTGCCCAGAGATGATGGGCTTGAGGGTGGCTCCCTGCAGCTATCAAACAGAAAAGGCTGGGTGTCCCCCAGTTGGCACTGTGGGGAGCTGTACCCAGGAGCCCATTCCCTTTGCATCAGCCAGGGAGTCACCCTGCTGCGCCCCGCACAAGGAAAACGTGCTGGGTTCAATGGGACATCTCCTCCAGTGTGCCAGCCTACTGGGTGTGCAGCCCGAAGGCAGTGCCCACTCAAGGCACACGCTGCCTGCCCCCACACCCCAAGCACTTGCCAGTGATCCCAAGGTCACC